AATATTCACAGAATGTTTATACTAATGGGATATAGAGAAGTAAAGATACTATTCATATTGCAGGCTATGTGAATGGCACTCCTGGGAGTTTGACAATATAATACAATCTATTGAGGTTAGATAGGTGGTCCCACAAATACAATGTCAAAAAAAAAATGTGTTCAGTATTTTTTTTTTTTTACTATACCTCTGCTTTTCTTTCTCACTGTCAGTTGATTCCAAGTGTCAATATTTTCCTCCTGGATTGCCACAATAGCTCTCCAACCAGCATTCTCTCATTACTTTTTTCTAGTTCCTATCTTATTCATTCACCAAAATGTTGCCAGAACAATTTTTATAAAATTCTGAGCTTACCAAAAGTTTTCTAACATTCTAAGCTTACCACTAAGCTCTTTCTGTTAGACAATCCGAAGTCTTTAAAATGGCTTATAAAACTTTTATTGGTGGAGCCTCTGTATATCTTTTCTCACATGTTCTCCATTGCAGCCATGCTAAGCTCTTTGCAAATGCGCATGCTAGGTACACTCTCTTATGGCTCTGTGCCTTAAAACATGCTTACTTTTCTCCCATGCATAATCAGAATAGCTCCTTGCCGTTCCACACTCACCTCTGGCATTAATCTCTCTTTATAGTTTTCCTTAAGAATCGTTACAGTCCTTCAGCACCCCTCCTCTGTTCTCTCATTTCACCCTCCTGACCATACGTGCATCATATCACTTACAGATTCAGACGGTAACAGCAAATTTATCCCTCCTGCTAGACTATAAGCTTTTAAAGGACTGGAACCTTGCTCTTCTCATTTACATATTTTTGCTTCCTACAACAGTGACTTGCATGTAGGAATCCTTTAGTAAATATTTGGAGTATAACTTAATTGGTGGCAACTAGTTTACCCTGCATAAGGATATCATGTTCTTCTTCAGTGCCATGAGGAAGTTATAAAACCATACTGACCTCAGAATAGATAATGATTCATTAGCCTGAGACCAGATCATCTTCCCTATCTGCATTCCAGGCCTTTTATAGTGTCTAGCAAGAGACCACTTCTGAAAGAAATAAAATGGTAATCTTATATTTCCTTCAAATTTCAAGACTCAGTTCCTCTAGGAGGCCTGTTTTGACTGTTATTTCAGATAGTATTTTCTTATCTAAATTCTTTTATTATTACTATTGTACTTTAGATTCTGAGGTACATGTGCAGATCATGCAGGATTGTTGCATAGGTACATACATGGCAAGGTGGTTTGCTGCCTTCATCCCATCATCTATATCTGGTATTTTTCCCCTTGTTATCCCTCCCCACCCTCCCGACCCCCCGATGTCCCTGCCCTGGCCCCCCACAACTGACCACAGTGTATGATGCTCCCCTCCCTGTGTCCACATGTTCTAATTGTTCAATATCCACCTCTGAGTGATAACATGCAGTGTTGGTGTTTGGTTTTCTGTTCTTGTGTCAGTCTGCTAAGAATGATAGTTTCCAGATTCATCCATGTCCCTATGAAGGACACTAACTCATCCTTTTTTATGGCTGCATAGTATTTCATGGTGTATATTGCCACACTTTCTTTATCTACTATATTATTGATGGAAATTTGGGTTGGTTCTAGGTTTTTGCTATTGTAAACAGTGCCACAATGAACATAGGCATGCATGTGTCTTTATAATAGAACAATTTATAATTCTTTGGGTATATACCCAGTAATGGGATTGTTGGGTCAAATGGTATTTCTATTTCTAGGTCCTTGAGGAATCACCAAGCTGTCTTCCACAATGTTTGCACTAATTTACACTCCCACCAATAGTGTAAAAGTGTTCCTATTTTATGACAAACCCACAGCCAATATCATACTGAATGGGCAAAAACTGGAAGCATTCTCTTTGAAATCTGGCACAAGACAAGGATGCCCTCTCTCATCACTCCTATTCAATATAGTATTGGAAGTTCTAGCCAGAGCAATCAGGCAAGAAAAAAAAATAAAGGATATTCAATTAGGAAAAGATGAAGTCAAATTGTCTCTATTTGCAGATAACATGATTGCAATTTAGAAGACCCCATTGTCTGAGCCCACAATCTCCTGAAACTGATAAGCAACTTCAGCAAAGTCTCAGGATACAAAATCAATGTGCAGAAGTCACAAGCATTTCTATACACCAATAACAGACAAATAGAGAGCCAAATCAAAAGTGAACTCCCATTCACAATTGCTACAAAGAGAATAAAATACCTAGGAATACAACTAACAAAGGATGTAAAGGACCTCTTCAAGAAGAACTACAAACCACTGCTCAATGAAATAAAAGAGGACACAAACAGATGGAAAAACATCCCATGCTCATGGTTGGGAAGAATCAACATCGTGAAAATGGCCATACTGCCCAAAGTAATTTATAGAATCAACGCTATCCCCATCAAGCTACCAATGGAACTGGAAAAAACCACCTCAAATTTCATAGGGAACCAAAAGAGAGCCTGCATAGCCAAACAATCCTAAGCAAAAAGAACAAAGCTAGAGGCATTGTGTTGTCTGACTTCAAACTATACTACAAGGCTTCAGTAATAAAAACAGCATGGTACTGGTATCAAAATAGAGACATAGACCAATGGAACAGAACAGAGGCCTCAGAAGTAACATCATACATCTACAATCATCTGATGTTTGACAAATCTGAGAAAAACAAGCAATGGGAAAAGGATTCCCTGTTTAATAAATGGTGTTGGGAAAACTGGCTAGCAATGTGCAGAAAGCAGAAACTGGACCCCTTCCTGACGCCTTACACTAAAATTAACTCCAGCTGGATTAAAGATCTAAACATAAGACCTAACACCATAAACATTATTATTTAAATTCTTAATGTTTTAACACAAAAATAAGTATTTCCTGTACTTGTACTAAGAAACTTGTCTATGTATATGTATCTTTTTTCTCAAAACTATGTATCAAGAGCCTTGTGAATAAAGTCTGTTATTTCTGTGAGTTGTCTCTGATACCTACTTCATTGCTTCAAGTATGGCAAGTATTTTTAATTGCATAAATTTAAGATGTAGAAGATGATGTTTTGATATTCCTATCCATAGTGAAACGATTACTCCAGGTAAGCAACTTAACATAGTCATCACTTCCACACAGTTACCTTTTTTTGTTTGTCTGTTTATGGTAAGAATGTCTCAAATTTACTTTTGGCAAATTTTCAATAGATGATACAATACTATTAATTCTAATCCTCTTGCTGTTTATTACATCTCTAGATGGATTTGTCCTACATAGGTGCTAGGTATTTAATATGTTCTTTTGAATAAAATAAAAATAATCTCTCTTGATTGATTTCCCAATGTGCTACCAAAACTTCTCTCACCAATTTAACTATTTTGTATCTTCATCTTATTCAATTTCTCAACATTGTCCATCAGAGCTGCCTACACTCTACTTGAAAGGGGGACTTTGCTTAGCTTTCATACATTACACCCTTCTGATTTTTCTTCTGTATCTTTGGCTGTTCCTCAGTTGGCTGTGGGATCTGTTCCTCCTTTACTAAACCATAAAACATTAAGTGCATCAAGGGTATCTTCTTCTCCCCTAGGCTCATTTATCAACTTAACCCTCTCGAACGGCTCTAACCATCTGTGCTTCTCAACTCCATTGTAATAAAGGTAGAAAAGTCACTTCATTCTGCTTAATATGTGCAAGAGTGTTTTAATAAGCATCAATCCCAGAGTGATATTGAATAAGGGAATAAGGAAAAGAAGAATAAGCCATCAAATAATTTTAGAAAAAAATTCAACAGACACAGCATAGAAAGGACATTTCATAATTATTTAAACTTCATAAGGACAGGGTTATGTGGAGGGCAGGGAAACAAGTTATTTTGTTCTGTAAAATGTAACACAGTGCACAGTGAATCAGATCATGTTAGCAAATATAAAATCATTTGTGATTATGTAATTTGGCTTTAAACCACTGAGGAGGATATTTGAATATTTACTTCAGCAAAAGTTGTAGCAGCCTCCCTCAGGCAGGAGTGTCTAAGTGTCTGCTAATGTCTAGTGAGCTGCTTAAAAGAGGATAAAACAACACACCCTCAGGCAAGCAAGAAGATTTAAATAGAGCCAATTTAAGAAGCATAGTGCCTTAGCAAACTCAGAAATTAATCCAGATTAAGACATTTTGCTGTAAGGATCTATGACAAGAAACAAGTTCTACAACTCTGACTTAGAGGTAAGGGCTGGGGAAGGCACTCAAAAGGTATATTCCATAAAAACCCTCATGTGTTCCAAAGTACACCTTCAAAAATCATAGAGCAAATTCACCAGCATGTGTTATCTCAAACTAGCAGAAGTTTAAGCTTAATTAAAAATAAGTCAATAGGGAACGGAAGGGGGTTGTAATTTATTCTAATGTTAATATAAAGAATCTAAACATCTAGATATGTCTGAAATATGATTTTGTCTTTTGCATACTTTATGATAAATCATTTCTTCAAATAATTATTTAAGCCACAGATTTCACCCAGGACACTGACACTTAACAGTTCTTTAGTGTTCATGGAGAAAATTACTGATCGAAGTCCCCAGGTCTCCAAAGCAAACTGAAGAATTTAATTAATACTTTATCTTTACGTATATCTATCCATCTAGGAGAAACTAGATAGTGATCCTTTTATGGTAAAAATTGCGTACTGAGACTGAAACTGTCACATCTGAGCTCAACAAATTCCCACAGAAATTCATAAATAGATTATATACATGAGAAACATTAACTCAAGTGATTCTCAGTATCAAAAAATACCCACAGCTTTAAGACACAATCCATTTTGCTCACTATTATTCCTGAAATCACGTGTTATAAACATGCAATATGCTTGGTCATAAGTTTCTTGGTATCCTGTTATTGAACTTGTTTATAATATTTTTCTTAACATAATGTTTATCTCCTACATGCATAGGTATTTTTGTGATCTTCATGACCAACTCAAAAATTGTGGAAATTGTAATGTGATCATACCTTGCTTCCATTTTCTCTCGCCTCTCGTTCCATCTTGAGGTCAGAAATTAGAAGATTCTTATATTTGTTTTTTCCATTACTGTTGTGATCATCTATTCTGTATTCCGAAGTTAGCTGCGCAGAGAGGGGACTGTCACTGAGATTCAGTGGCTGTTCATCCTGCTCCAGCCCAGTTTTGCCATCACTGTTGGAGTCTCCCATCTCCCTGCTGTGTGCTCCCCCTGAAGCAATTGAACTGTGCCCCAGAGTCTCATTGCCATTAAAGCTCTCTGCAGCAGAATCATCTGTTGAAAAGGAAAAGTTATATTTTGATTTTAATTAATATGCTATTCAGATTCCACTTCTATTAGCATTTAGTGAGCTCCCATTATGTGAATGGCATTTTACATATGTGATTTAACCTCGGCAATAAACTTGTAAAGCAGTTATTGTTATTTTTAATCTATGTGGCACATGATAAGGTTTTGATGTTTTGTCCTCTTTGAATCTCACATTAAAATGTGATCTCCAATGTCCATAGTGGGGTCTAGTGGCAAGTATTTGAGTCATGAGAGTGGATTTTCCATGAATGGCTTGGTGCCACCCCCATGGAAATGAGTGAGTTCTTGCTCTGTTAGTCCATAGGAGAGCCAGTTGTTTAAAAGACCCTGGCACCTCTTCTCTCTCTCTCTCTTGCACCCTCTCTCACCATGAGTCCCATTGGCCTGCCTTCATTTTCCACCATGATTTTATATTTCCTGATGCCCTCACCAGGAGGAGATGCCAGCACTATGCTTCCTATACAGTCTGCACAGCTATAAGCCAAATAATCCCTTTTTCTTTATAAATTACCCATTCTTAGATATCCCTTTATAGCAATGCAAATGGGCTAACACAGCACATTTAGGCACAAAAAGTGAAATAAAATAATAAGAAAATAGAATTGAGAGAACAGTTCAATCTTAATTGCAATCTCAAAGAAAAAACAAAGATAATTAAATAATTATCAATTATTTTGCAAATAGTTTAGTTTTTTCCAGTGAGAATATCCAGATTTGGTTAAAATTCTGTGATAAAAAGCATCATTTATCCTGCTGGTGAGAATGTATATCAGTATAAGCTGAATGAGTGTTTAACATGCATCTAAAACATTGAAAATGCTCAGAAACTTTGTTCCAGTCATTACACTTCTGAGAGTTTAATGCCTAAGACGTTTAATCATTGTGTGTATCTCTGTGTAGGTAAACATTTATACCAGTGTTGTTGATAATAGCAAAAATTAGAAATGACCTAAATTACCACAAATAGACTATTTAAATAAATGTTGAAATTGTTAGAATATTATGCAATAAAATATGGGGATGTGGGTCATGGAGTACTAAATAGAAAAATCTAGCTACAAAAGAGTGGAGTTGGTATGATCCCAATTTTGTAAAACGAAAACATAGACAAAGTTTGCAGAAAATAACATTTTTATTTTTCTTAATTCATTTTATCTTATATGATAGAAATTTGCTATTGATTTTTTAAAATTATGATGAAAAAGGTATTAAATTGTTTCCTTTAGCTAAAAGCTGTTGGTGAAACAATATAAATATGGGTGAGCAAGAGAAATATTATTCAATACTTGTGATTTTTAATTTTCTGAATATTATCACATACACTTTTTTGTGGGGTGCAATGACATAGTTAATGTTTTTTAATCAATTACATTCATGGGAATTATATTCAAATTCTGAAAGAGAAATATAACTCACATATTTGTTGATTTATTCACTAACATTTGTTAAGCACTTACTCTGTGGCCAATATGGGGTTAAGTATTTGGCCTGTAGAGAAGGTGCCTTCATCAAATTCACATATAATTGAGACAGAAAAACAAACATGCTATTAAAATGCAGAGCAAGAAGGCTGTGATCTCATACAAGGGATAAAGACATCACAGAAGGCTTCCTAAAGAAGAGAATATGAGTCAAATTCCAAAAGGTGAGTGAGCCTTAAATCAGGTGGAGAAGTTGGAGAAGAGTGTTCTCTATAGAGGGATCAGCATGTGCAAAGTCACAGAGGTCAGCATATGCAGAGCAAGTGAGAAGTAAGAGTAGTCTGGTGTGCAAAAAAAGAGAATGAGAAAAGATAAATCTAGAAAAAAAAAAAACAGAATACCAAGAAAGCATTTTGTTTATCAAAGAACTTGGATTTTATATGGGAGCAAATAGCAATTTTAATTTATTGTGGGAAATGACATGGAAAAAGTTATATTTCAAATAGACTATTCTGACTTGGATGAGGAGAATGGTATGAAGCATCAAAGTGGAAGTTCGGGAAACCAATTAAGAGATTCAGAAGTCATCTCAGTTGTTACCCTTAAAAGCTCAAACTTCTGAAGCGGTGGCAGCATAGAAAAAGAGGAGACAACTAGAAAAATTGTGAGAACAGAATTGAAACAACTAGTAGTAATGGAATAGGCAAGAGTCCAGGATGAAGCCAGGTCTGTAGTAAAAAATTTTAAAAAAGAGCATTAGGTTAAGTTTAATTTTGAATGAAATATTTTGTTTTTGTTTGTTTGTTTGTTTTTGAGACCAAGTTTCACTCTTGTTGCCCAGGCTGGAGTGCCGTGGTGTGATCTTTGTTCACTGCAACTTCTGCCTCTTGGGTTCAAATGATTCTCCTCCCTCAGCCTCCCAAGTAGCTGGGATTACAGGTGCACATCACCACGCCTGGCTAATTTTTGTATAGAGACGTAGTTTCACCATGTTGGCCAGGCTGGTCTCGAACTCCTGACCTTGGGTGATATGATTCACCCACTTCGGCTTCCCAAAATCCTTGGATTATAGGCCTGACCCACTACACCCAGCCTGAAATAGTATTTTTAAACAATTTCCTAAGACTATCTTGTGGAAAATGTTGAAATATGTTCAAATGGCAAATTTCTATTAAATTACTCTTTTTATGTATCCATCAAAGAAAGAATTGATGTGGGGAGAAAAAATACACAGGAAAATTTAGGAAACTGGTCATAAATAATAATTTATAACCTGGTACTTTCCATAGCTATTAATCCAAGGATTCAAAAAACAGTATTTTAACATGAAATGTCTAGGGCTTTTGAAATACAGAACTAATGGGATGATTTATATAAATATATATGTAATTTAGATAAATGTGCATATTCATTTATGCCAATTTGAATTCTTATGCTAAATTATGAATATGATTTTTGATTACTTTAAATTATTATGTACCATGAAAGTCCAAAGAAAAGCACACTGAACGTATTCAACTCCAATTTTAATTCATGAAGAAAAGTGATTTAACATTTGTGTACTAGAATCCTTTAAAAAATATACTAATATTTAATGTATAAAGGCTTTGTTAATACTTATCAGGTTAAATAACCCTAAATATATACTACGTTTTAAAGTAAAATCTACATTGGCATAAGATAAATCCAGTATCCCTCATAGTTAAAAATTAAACATCCCATATCTGTTTCTTCAGTCTGAAATCATTACGTATATCTAATAAATAGTATATTATTGTTTCATTTTTTTCAGGTAAGATAAACATTATCATTTGTTAGGAAAGGCTTTAATAAGTTTCATGTATTTATTTCTGTAAAAAATATAAACAATAAGGTAGAAAATATTTTTAGATGGAGTAGTTCACTCCAGATGTTACCAAGGTAACTAAATTCAACAGTGTTACATATTTCATTCCTGAGTAAATCAGTATGTTTTAAGAAAAACAAATAAATGATTTACTCATTTGTGTCAAATATATATACTCACATATTTTATAATTTAAATGGTAAAAAACAATAATGTCTCACAGCACTGTCTGATAAATCCAAATTTGAAACAAAGTTTTTGATGTCTTTATTTTAAAAATACAATATAGAACAGTAAGCAGACATTAAACTGAATATAAATCAACAATTTTATATTGTTGAGTTTCATGTAATCACGTTAACAGTTTTTATTCTATCTCCCTCTCTTCCTAAAAATACTTTTTAAGAATTTAAAATCGAAGACCTCAGGCTCCTGTAATAAATTCACATCAGGTCATCACTTTAAAGGGGTAATCTGACTCCTTACCCAACATAGTTTGCTGGATCCTGAGTGGCTGCTACACACAGGGTGCAGTATTTAGATGTGTGGATATGGCCTTCAGGTTCACTGGGCCAGGCGATGGCTCTTCTCTCAAGGTTTCAGCCTGGATACCACAGCATTTGAACCAAAGACTCTGTATTTGAGTCTCAAAGAAAACAGCACCTGGAGCTTTGGAAAATAAGAGTGCCCAGGGTACCTAGCAACAGAGGAGAATGTGGAATGTGATGACAAGGAAGTGTGGAATCTGGTTACATCAGGAGGGCAGTTGGATGTTGGGATTTAATTTGTTTTGCTCCTACTTTTGATGGGATAGATTTAGTGTTGTGGAGAATTATTATGCTATCTCTGCTAGCACAGCTGAGGCTCCTTCGTGTCTAAAAGGTCTGGTAACACAGTAAATGGCAGACTAGTCTTTTTCTTCTTTCTCTTTTGCTACTCCCCATTCATCTCCATGAATTAGTACAGACTCTAGAAATACTCTAAGTTATCCCGCCGCATTTTGCTGGAGTGGTTTCATCAGCAACACATTCAACAATTACCTCTCTCTGTATGAAGATAATTGACCTAAAACATTATGTATAATGTATATGTGTACATGTCTGTGTATTTAAGAGTGTGTGTGTGTGTGTGTGTGTGTGTGTGTGTGCGCGTGAGAGATCTCCCCAAGTACCTGACCTACTTTCTTATTCAGTTATTTGCAGTAGCTCATTACCATGGCCTTTAGGCCAAGTGCCTTAGGCAAAATGAACAGAAACAATATGTATATGTATATATATATACACACACACACACATATATATACACATATATATATATATATATACACACACATATATATGTACACATATGTATCATCCTCATTTTAACATTAGTACTTGGAAGTTTAGTCCTAAAATTCAGGTCAGATGCTCACAGGGTCCAAAAAGCTTTTCACTGTTTTCCCCAAATGCACCACAATTTTCCACCTTTAGTCCTTTGACGCCCCATTAGAAAACTTGTCTTTCATATCTTACCATAAAACTAAATATTAAGTCCAAAATATAGATGTAAATAGCATTGCTGAAAAGTTTAGGACCTTCATATCCAAAAAAATAGAAAAAAATTTTAAAAATTGCTTTGAAATCTAATTGCAAAATAGTTTAAGTACAACTCTCCTTTACCTCTCATGGTCTCTGGTCTGTCTTCTCCCAGCAAGG